CTCTTCAGGGCCCCTGCGGCCTGTACTGCCCGGAACGCGGCTGCCCTGGGGGAGGATGGCGCAGGGCCGTGTTAGGTAGCTTAGGTAAGGGAACGGGCCCTGGGGCTTGTGCGTGGTGTTTACAGACACGCTGAGCTTTAGGAACCCAGCGAACGCTTGGTGATGGGGCCGCTTGCAACGCTGGGCCAAGAGTTCCAGTGTCCTGCCCCTGCACTGAATTTGATGCTGTGATGGCCTTGGCAAGCAAACGGCGCCATCGGTAGTGCACAGAGGATCTTTACTTGTAATAACTTTTCATCATTTTTCCATCTAAAATGACATTATTTGTTTGCAGTTTGTGACAGGTCAGGAAGTACAAACGCTACCTGACTCTCATCACCTTCCCAGACAATGCACAGCAACTGGGACCAGGACCCACCTGGGGCACTTCTACTGTCTTGCCACTGGTACTAATGAAGTTTAGATGATCCTAGGCATGTTTGAAAATCTTTCTTCCTTTCAGATTTGATTGAAAACAGCCTGAAGATTTAAAAATTACTATGGGATCTCAGAGGCACAAAGTGCACAAGTGGTGTTTCCTGTGTGAACAAAAGCTAAATTTTTCTTATTTTTCCTAACACAAAGCATATGTAAGCATAAGCAGTAACAACAATGCTGTAAACACAACAATACACTTTGGTATAAAAATACACATGTTGAATTTATTTAAGACATGTAATTATTTAAGGTTATGTTTTAAAGCAGTTTTAGCCAAACTTTTATTATGTTGGATCTATGCTTACTGCCAGACTAGTACACCAATTAAGTATTCCTTATGTTGCTTTAGTATCCTTTTATATTTCATTCTTAAACTTTCTCAGCTTTCACCCATTCTCTCAGTGGAGAGAGTGTTTCAGCCCTTCAGAAAACAAAACCAAACAAAAACCAAAACACAGGTTTCTAACATAGTAACACTTTAAAAGCTAAAGTGTTGTTTGATTGAGTTTGCAACAATGGGCCCCAAGTTACTAAATCTGAAAATGGCAGAGGGGAATGAAAAGAAATAGCAGGTTTCTCTGCCTGTAAGGCTCTCTGTGCTTCCCTAGTTGTTCCTCTCACTGGTTTACTCAGCCCTAAAAATAGCATGATTATCTCCACAGCCTTCTGATCTGATCCTGGAACATTTAGACATCAGTACAGTTTGTTATAGTCAAGGCTGAGATGACTATAAAGTAAAGAAAGTGTTTTAAAACAGATTGTTCTTACAGCTTAGTTACAGTTGCGTTGTTTTGGGTTTTTTTTTCCATAATCAAAATTGCATTTCATAAACAAGGTTTATGAAAGTCATTGTAAAAGCAATTTACCTGCTTTTGTACAGAAGAATAACTCCCAGCACAGCATCATTAATAATAACAAGTTTTAAATAGTCACTTCGCTGTATGATTGAGAGTCCAATAGACACTTAGAGAAACAAAGTAGGTTGTTTAGAAGAAAGCCTTGAACAACTCCAGGATGGCAGCTAGTATTCCCAAATGTCATTACCTTTCTCTGATAGATGGAAAACTAGGTTTTCCCCCAAGAGCTTTATCCTTGCACTAGTAAAGGGCTGTGTCCATGTGAATCATTCATACTAAACTAGGACAAGTACGGTAGTTGTTCCATTTACCAGCTGTGGTGTCTGATTCCCACATAAGTTAGCCTTGAATATCAAAATACTGGAACACAGACCACTTGCCAGGAGTGTTGTGTTTTTTACAGTCAAATTGTCAAGGCCCAGGGTGTGAAGCCCTGGTTTGTGCTTGGTTGTGTGGGAAGTTCTGCCTTGTCTGCAGCTCACCCACAGGCTCCTTCCAGAGCAAGCAAGGGCTCACTGCCTAATTTTTTCTCTCTGAAATAAGCCTTACATTTAAGTTTGTTCTCCAGTTCCTCTTACATAAAAACAACTTAAAAATGTTATTTTTTTTTTTTAAAAAGAGTCTGCTACATCCATCTTGGGGACCATTCCTGTGATTAGAATGAACAGGCTGGGGACTTTTCTGGCCAGTAGGCAAGTGGCACAGGGCATCCACGCTCCAGCCCTGTCTGCCACCCCCCTGTTCCTTGAGGGACACAGTCCCCTTGTCCCCCTAGACCCCTCCCTGCCTGAGCAGTGCTTCCTGGCAGAGGGGACAGTTAAATACTGTGGATGTTTGCAAGTCAGTGCTTAGACTTGGGGGAAAAAACATCCTTAAGGTGCTGTCAGGTTGTTTTTAAACAAACGCTGCTTGTGTCTGTGATGAGGACACGTGTGTAAATGGGATTTTAAGAGAGCATTAAGCTACTTCTTCACATACCTAATGTCTTTGGTTTTTGCCTTGAAAAAAACCTCCTTTCTTCAGATATTGTCAAGCAGATTGTGAAGCACCATTGAAGTAATTGTGCTGAATTATTTTTTTAAACAGAACTCGATTTGCTGGGGAGGTTTAGATTGGATATTGGGAACAGTTTCTTTTCCAAAAGGGCTGTCAGGCCCAGGCTGCCCAGGGCAGGAGTCCCCATCCCTGGAGGGATTTCCAAGCTGTGTAGCTGTGGTGCTGAGGGACATGGGTCAGTGATGGCCTTGGAAGGGCTGGGTGAAGGGTTGGACTTGAGGATCTTAAAGGTCTTTTCCAACCCAAAGGAGCCCGTGATTCCACAAACTGTCTCTTTCCTTTTTTCTGCAGTCGATGGGTAAGAGAGTTCTTCTCGCTCGTCCGATCTTACCAAAGCACCAGAGTCACTCGTGACGCAGCAGGGAGGGTGTGACGTCCCGGCGGGGGGACACTCCCTGGCAACCTGGTCGGGGTGGGGGTGTCATGGCCAAGGGCAGGCGGGGCCATGGCCAAGGGCAGGCGGGCCAAGCCCAGCGACCGGAGCGCCGGCATCTGGGTGAGGGCCGGACGGGCAGGAGCGCCGCGGGGCTTTTTTTATCCTTCACGTCTCGCCAAAACAAAACCCCGAGTTTTCCCGTTCCTGATGTTTATCAGGAAAAAACGCCCTAGGCATTCAGGGGAAGTGGGCTAAACCCGACCCTGGCAGGACTTTGTTTTCGGGTTTCCATCAGTGCTAGAGGTCTCTTATTTCATATTCTGAAAAATTGTTGTCTTCTGCAAAATGCCGGCTGATGTTTGCCTCCCTTCTCTCCCTTCCGTCTCTGAAAACCTTGGAGCTGTCACCTTTAAGTTTTGTGTTTTCAAACCTACAGTCGTACAACAGCAGGAGCAATGTAAGGGGGAAAAAAACCCAACACAACAGAAAAAGAAAAAAATATATAGCATGAGTCGTTTTGTTAGATGGATTAAACTGTTTTCAGAAAGGCCCTGGAGAAATAGTACTCTTTGTCTGGTTACTCATGTACATCGTAAGGTCCTTATGGTAGGGGTTGTGTTGCTTGGAGGAGCCTCCAGATTTTTCCAGAGGCCACTAGGTGCTGCTGCAATCCAAATAATAAAAAATACTTGGGAAAGTGCAGTTTTGCCCACAGTTCTGATCAGATTTATTTTGGGGTTTTTGTTGTTGGCTTTTTTTTTTTTTTTAAGGGTAAAAAATTTCATTCTTTTGTAGTTTGCTCACATTGGAGTACACCAGAGTCGACTTGAGTCGATTACAAGTTCTGCACTAAAACAGATCCACGACTCAGGAGAAGCTCAGTACCTTGAGAATCAGTTGCCGCTAGGCTACAGAGCTCGGGCACAGGTGAGTTACTGTGGCCATAAAGCCAATTCACAGAGCTCCTAAGATATCATCACTTGCCAAATTCTAAGTCAGATTAGGAGTTAGTGAGGCAGTTGGAGCAGGCTGGCAGACTTTGTGCCTCAGGGAGTGACATGCTTCCTAGCTGTGCTAAGGGGGAAACAGATTTTGCTCTTTCTCAGTTACAGTTCTGGGTACTCGAAGTCCTGCTGGAGTTACTGCTGATTTCCTGCATCTGTTACTTTCCCCTTTTCTTAGCTACTACGGCCCTTTTGGAGAAGAAACTGTTCCCAATATCCAATCTACAGCTGTTTGAGGCATGTTTGTGTGCTAGAATATACTAAGTTGGATCTCAGTCCAAACTCTGTATGTACAGCCCTCTAAGAATGTTTAATTGACATTTGAAGATGTGTTTTCAATTCAATGTCAGACATTCTGTATATTCAGGCAAGGGTTATATTTTTTTTTACCATTGAAAAGTTAGAAACTTCCCATTTGAACCATGTTTAAGGCTTGTTTAAAACTGAGGAGATCTGAGGCAGTCTTTGAAGCAAACAAAATACAGCACAAAATGTTAAAATTGCACAAGCACATTTTTATGTCCTGGTCACCCACCAACTTTGTGCACAGAATATCTTCTGTTTTCATCTTCTGTAAGTACAGCAATTCTACTGAGTTCATTACACAGAGCTTGCTGTAATGAAGGGCACAAATAGGCTAAGAAGGAATATTTAAAAGGGAAGCTTGGAGAGAATATTATACTGTAACATGAGTATCTATTATGTTGATATTACTTACACTTCTCTGTGGAGCATTTGGTCTTAGCTATTGTGTGAAAAGGAGAACTGGGTCAGAGGGACCTTTTATCAACTGGTATGAATGTTCACCTGATGTTTTATGCCTTCAGTGTCAGAACGGGGTAGTGGAATTCCTTTTCTGTCATGAGAGTTAAAATAAGGTCAGCACTGAGAGTACAGCGATGCATTACAGGCCAAAATGTGATGTCACAGGAACAATCTGCAGAAGTTTGTCTACGTGATATTTTTAAAAAGTAATGGTAGAGTGTTGGAAGCTCATTGCACATGAAGCTGGATGTCTTTTATCTCTTTACATGGGGGAACTCACTGGCTGTGAGGTTAATTAATTTTCTCAGAAATCTAGTAACTGTTTAAGCTTATATTACCTCTTATTTCATGATAGTCCTACAATTATCTGTAATAGATTTTTTTTTTAACCATCAGTTAATATGCAGAATACTTCCAAGAAATTCATTTCAGCATTTACCATCTTGGTTTTCAATTTTCCTGCAGCATATAGGCACTAGCAGTAAACACTGTTCCTAAAATGTGAAGATTGACATGAAATTGCAGTGAGTTATTTTAGTAAGCCTTACATTTTACTGACTTAGAAGGTGCTTATTTTTAAACAGATATGTGAGAATGTATCCATGTGATTTACTTATCCATTCAACTACAGTGGGGTTCAATCTGTATGAGAAAGGAAAAAAACTGTCTGGCATACAAAAGTAGAGAATCTGTCTAGTATTCAAAACACTCTAAGGTATGACCCTGCAGCTGACTCCTAGCAGATAAATCATGTATTTGGTGATTCTTCTTGCTGAATCAGGCTTCTGGTTACATTTATCTTTAGAACTGATTCAGATTCACTTACTCTTGAAACAGGTTACCTTGAAACTTGCTCTTCTGTTTGGAGGAGAATATCACAGTTAAACATGAAAAACATATTCCACAATGTTAAAAGTGAAAATTGCTAGGGCATTTACAGTAAAAAACCATAAAGTTCTCAAGCAGGAAAATTATGCTTGAGGAAGAACAGAGGAAATCTAATAGTCCAGAAGAGTTTTCAGTGTTTCAATTTTTAGCTATTTTAATAATATTGCAAAGATGCATAATAAAAACTTTTAAAAAATTAAATATGTTAAATTACTTTAAAAATAATTATTTTGCAGTTTTTCTTTTTTTCTTCTAAAAATCTAGTTTCATTTTAGAGCCTGGATGTCCATTATGTGAAAGAATGAGATTATAAATTAGTTATACAATTAATACCCTCTCCACTTCCCCTGCATCAAGCAGTGTCCATGACATTCAGTACATAAATCATAGATTAATTCAATTTTGAGGTCCCTTTTGTACTTCATTTTAATTAGCTTTAGGCTTACTAGTGAACCAGACAAGGCAATCCTGACACATATCTGGTATTTTGCTGCTTGCAGACAGAGTGTAGCATTTATTTGAAAATTTACCCTTTTGTATTAATCATCTATATATCTATCCAGCAAGTCAAGGGAATGCAAATCCTCCTGACACTTATAAAATAAAATAAAACAAAATAAAATAAAGAAGGCTCCTATAAAACTATGTGAAGTTGAAGATTTAACAAATGAATGTGTCTTCTGTATTAGAACATAGGCAGCTTAAAGACTAGTAGACTCCAAACAAGAGATGTTAAAATTCATTTTTTTTTGGCTATAATTTCTTTTTGTTTTCAGAAAGCAGTGAACAACAATTTCCCATTTTCTTCTCATGACAACAGACACAGTCTAGAGAATGTAGGAGAGTATTTTGATTCTGTAAGTACCCAACACTGAAAAAAATCAACCAAGGTCATACCTCTCAGTCTGCCAGGGATTAAACACAGTATCTTTTCTCTCCCCTGCAAAAATTATAGATGATAAACATTGTGAGAAAAGAAAAATGTGAACAGCAAAGAGAAACACACTTTTTGTATTTAGTATTATTTAGTATTGGATGTGGCCTCTCTGGGGCTGCAGAGGTATGCAGCAGCACAGATGGTAATTGAGAGTGGCAGAATTCAAGGGGAACAAATACCCCATCTTTGGGTCTCTGACAGGCAGTTTCTAATGGTCCTGGTTTTTATGTCCTCATATGATTTTGAACCCAGCCCTGCTGGGCTCCTGAAAGTGACTGGCCTTGTGATGAACTTTTGTAAAGGTCTCAGACACCGCTAATTCACAGTCCAACATATTTGGTTCATACTTGTCTTTATCCTAAGTTTATCCAAAATCCATTAGGCACTCACAATATATCTTTAGAACATATTAGTTTCCAATCCACATCTCTTTATAATGCACCTGTTTAAATGTATGTTGCAAGATCCACAACTTGGAATAGAATTTAAGTTGGTTTGGGCTTTTCTGCATGTGCAATGGTTTAATGTTGTTCCACTTTTCTTAGATTGTTGACATCTTTCTCAGAAGCAAAAGAAAAGTGCAGTTCAGGTGCTGATGAGTAGAGGAGGAAGCAGCACATTGTGATATTGAAAGTTTGTCTGAGTTTGGGCTCTGTTAGACCTAGATTTTTTGGTATTTATTATTCCCTGAATAAGCTCAATTTCTGTGCACTTTGTGTCTTGTATTTTTAGAGATACTGATCAACCATAATTCCAAATAAATTTCCAGCAAGCTGTGTAGTGTGAACATCAGGCTCTCTCTCTGTGTTGGGACACACAAGTGATAGTTTTGAAGGTTCAGACTTCATGGTTTGTTTCAGTTTCTTTCCTGCAGTCTGAACAAAATTATTAACCAATTTCTTGCCATTGTTCTGCAGATTAATTTAGTTAAGTAGAGCTAAAGAGCTTTAAGTATATAATATGCCACAGAAATGCAAAGTGTAAGTGGTTTATTAGCAATAAGAAGTGGAAGGTCAACAGATTTCTCATTATATATGCAACCAGAAATGTTCAAACAGGCAAGTCTGACAATATTATTTTTAACTTGCTGAAGATCAGCCATGAGTTCTTGAAATCACTGTGGTAACAGCTTTGTTAACTTCCCAGTGGGGTAGTGACTGTTACAAGATTCATCTGTGAAGCTGTGATAATAAGTCATATGTTTACATGAATTTTTCTTGCAATTTCTTTTTTCTAGGGCTTGGGCCGGAGGAAGGTAGAACCAGAGAGACGGCAACATAACTCACAGAACTTCTTCCTTGAGGCTCATGAATTAGTTCCTAACAGCAAGGATGGTTTAACCACTTATCAGACATCATATGTGAAACATGAAAACACTGAGAGTACATTTTGGAGGCGGTATCCAAAGCAACACAAAAAATGGTGCACTGACAAACCTGCTCCTGAGACTGGAAAAAAACCTGCAGCCAAATGAGCTACCTGGATTATACAAACACTGTTGGAGCTCTGACTTACCCTCAGCAGAGCCTTTTGTTGAGAGCTGAACTACTTCTTACAAAATGAGTGATGAAATAAACATTGCATAAGATGAATGGGGTTGTACAGTTCATTGCAATCAACAATCTCATGTGACTCTGAAGACATACATTACTAAAACCATTTTAATGAAGAAGAGCATTATCAGGAAGAGCATGATTGCATGTATATTTAGAAATACCTCTGTTGTGAGTACAAAGGTAGTGGTTGTACTTGTGTTGATACTGGTTGACCTTCATCTTGATACAAAAGCTTCTTCAATTTCAGAATCAGTGTTATGGCTGTACGTGAAACATCTGTGTTGACTGAAGTATACAAAGGAGCTGGATCCTTGAGGGTTCACCACAACAGGGAGCCAAAATTGCACATTCAGGTACGAGAGAAACTTCAGGAAAGTTTCATGGGTTTGCAGAGAGGTTACTTGCCATTAGAGATGCTAGAGAACAAAGAAGATGCACATTAGATTGCTGGACAAAGTAACTGTGGTGTTTGGTTGTAACACAGCAGTTGCGTAAGTAAAGCAAGAAAGGATCTTGTAAACAATGTCTGCATGCCTCAAATGTGTGTGCCCTCAAAAAATGTGAGTGTATGTGTGTGTGTGTCAGCATTCATGGCAGTAAGGGAGAAAAAAGCTCAAGCTGAAAGTGGAAGGCTGCACAAACATTTGAGTTCGAGGTAAGCTGGATCTGAGAGACCTCCAAATAATGTGTTTTCCTCTCGTGGATAATTTCCATTAATATTGATAAAATAACAAATAAAACTCTGTGTCTTAAAATATACTAGAAACAAACTTGTTGCTATGCAAAACAATGTTGATAAAATAATTCAAGCATAAGTTTATGGGATTATTTCCTTTGTTGATATATGGAAAAATAAACCCTCAACCCTTAGGATTCCATGCATTAGCTGGAATTAGCAGTGTTAAGAAATTATTTCTGCCTTTCAGTGAGTTATCTTTTCATATCAAGATGGAATGGCTGACCTTTTTGTGGGCCATCAAAATAGATTGTAGTAGAATATTTCCCCAAATGTGTAGCAATTTTATTAGCACACACACTGAAGTAATAAACTATTTTTTAATATGAATATCCCCCTAGTAAAGTTCTTGGGGTGCTACACAATACCTAGAAATGCAAAACATTATTGAACAATGTAAAAACAGATAAAAAGCCAAGTAACATAATATTATTTAAAAGAATTATTTTTTCTCAAAGTAAAGCCAGCCTGCCTGACAACTCCAGAGTCAGAATTTCCAGAGCTTTAGCCAACAATTTCATCTCCAAACTGATTCAAAACTCCACTATGTGCCAATCACATGGTAAATGAAGTACCCCATGCTGTTTGGCATGCTCAAGAGGGCAGTCTTAGACCTCCATCAGAAGGAAGAAACACATTCTTGCTCCATTAGTAATGTTTATCTGTGGTTTAGCATTACAACTGGATATGGTGAAATAAATTTGCTGCAGTTTGTTATGCCTTTAAACACCAATAGATTTCTCTTTTTTTTTTTTTCCCCTTCACATTTTGACTCAAACAGGCATTTTATTTTTAATTTTTTTTCAAAGTAACTATGGGTTAATACATATTCTTAATGGTATAGTGATGAAGGTTTCAGAGGAGAAACAGGGGACCTCATGAAACCTCTGTACAAACTGAAATACACTGTGCTGAGTTAAACAAAACAGGTGATTCTCATCTATCTCATGCCCTGGCTGTGTTTCTTGGGTAAATAACATGAGATCCAATACATTGAACTTCAAAATGAATGATAAATGTCCCAGATAAATTCCAGAAAGTCACAGCCTTGCATATTTTGGATAGAAACCATCAGTATTGTTTAATCTTGTGATAATAATGTGTCTGTGAAGAAAGCCCTATTGAGTTAAAATATTTTTGCAATATGGCTTTTTTCCTTCTTGGGGGATAGAAGAGAGAGGGGGGAGGGCTGGTAAGTCCCATAACAGTTTCCTAGTCTGTGTAGGG